GGGGCCAGAGGGGAGATGAACAGTGGCAACATTTGGTCCGGTGGTGAAATATCTCCCGTTTCTAAGCCCCCACCTTCCCCCCAGCCAGGGGCAGAGGTGGTTTCCAGGGCTCAACTGCAAAGCCCCATGGTGGCGCAGGGCCTGAAGGCGAGCAGTGCCTCGCTGACAGAATAATTTCCTTTTTAGTCCATGGTATGCAGCTGGCCGAGGCGGGCTCCCTCACTCCCCACCCGCGTCCCGCCTGTGCCCCGGGAGCCGTGCCCGCCCTGTGTCGCTCGCAGGGCTGCTGGAGGCATCCGGAGCATCCTTCCCCACCACCTGGGAAGCACCAAGGCGCTGGTGGGACTCCAGGCATCCCCGGGGGTTTTGCATGTCATGCCTGGACATAAGCATTTAATTTCTGACTGTGCAGCATTTGGGCACCAGGTGCTGGCTCCGACCTTGTTCTTTGTGCGTGGCTCCATCTGTGGCTTCAGTAGCTGGTGGGGTTGGTGAGGTTGAACTTTGTGTCTGTCGGTACTGCAGAGGGGACCAGCGTAGTACTTAGCTCTTTGATGGCCAGAAAATGCTCTTGGAAGGACATCAAGGATGTGCAGGGCTTTTGCCAGTACTGGGGGAGATGGGCTCTGTGGACAGAAAGGTGTCACAGGAAACCCAGGGCTCTCTCCTGGAGAAACCCCCAGTTAGCTAAGAGAAAGAGCTTGCTGTTTATGGAAGATGGATTTTACTCCCAGCTTCTCCACTGATTTACCCTCATTTTGCCAGTGACATAAGGAGGATCTGTATAAACAGCTCCAGCTAGACAGTTCTGGATGCCTTCTCTGCTCAGAAACAGCTCTGGCCCGCCGGGCTCCCTGCTGCTAGCCAGCCCGTTTCCGAACTGCTCAGAGAGCGCACATATGCATCATCTCTAATAAATACAAAAGTAAGGCCAGAATAACTGTAATTTGTTAGCGAACAAAGCAGGTCAGAAGAGGAGGGGGAGAGGAGAGTCTCAAGCTAATTGGAACAGCACCAACTATGATAAAAATGCACATTGCGGCATGTTTGCAGCATCGCACAAAATTATTTTAATATTTTAATCAACTTCATAAATCAATCGGCAGGCCTCAGGAGGAGGCCTCCACCAATAAAGCACACAATCTGCGCATCGAGCCCTAATTGAAAACATGGTCTCGAAGAGGAGACCGCGCTGCTGGCAGCCGGACTCCTTGTAAAAGCGCCAGGCCAGGCGCTGGCTCTCTGCCGAGGCTGGAGCAGCCCAAATGCCGCGCTCGCAGCCGGCCCAGGAGCCTGTGACGTAGGTCGGTGTCTGCGGAGCTCTTCCTCCAGCCTAACGGAGGAGAAAGTGATCGGGCTTTCACCAGGTCCAGAAGAAAGTTGGTGCCTTCTCACTGCCTGGACCCACCGGCCTGCCAGGATGGACAGGCTGCGGGCACCGCTGGCGTTTGCAGGCTGCTTTGCCTGTAGAAATGCAATATGTTGCCCTTCCTCCTGCAGGTGGAAAAGGTGTGTGCTGGGGGGGAGGCGAGGGAGCCTCCCACCCTTGTTCCTAAGGATTTCAAGGAGTGAATCCTGCAAACAAGCGGCAGAGAGGCACGGAGGCACGGCTGCCTGCCCACGCGGCTGCGGCACACCGAGCACCGCACTTCTTCCAGGGCAGATGTGGAAACATCCCCCAGGCTCCCTCCCAGGAACTGCGTTAGCCCGTGAGCAAAGCAAACACCAATTTTATTTCACGCAGAGTGATTAAAAGCCCATTTTTTGGGCTGCTTGCTCTGGGTCTGTGCAGCCAAGCAATGCTTTAACTCATCAGAGTGGCCTCCAAGCAGGGACCTTGAGATTGATCTGGCCATTGATCTGTGCCACAGGAGCCCACATCGGTTTTCTCCCCCATCGAAGCCAGCATTTAATGCTGACAGCACCTCATTAAGTTCGTACCAATTGTGTGAGCATCTTCATTTGGCAGCTGAGGCAAACGCAACACCACTGGCCACCTCCTGTTGTGTGTGAGAATGTGCTGGGTCTGGCTGGGATGGAGTGAACTGGTTTCATCGCAGCCCCTGTGGTGCTGCGCTTCGGATTTGTGGCTAAACCAGTGTCGATAACACCCCAGCGTGTTGGCTGCTGCTGAGCAGTGCTTGCACAGCATGCAGGCTTCCTCTCTTTCCCACTATGTCCCCACAGCCAGTAGGCTGGGGTGGGCAAGGTGTTGGGAGGGGACACGGCCAGGACTGCTGACCCAAATTGGGCTATTCCACACCATATAATGCCATGCTCAGCAATAAAACTGGAGGTAGAGGCTGGGAGTCAACCCACCACAAAGACACAAAATGTACAGAAGGAAAGAGAGCGATCCCTCCATCCAGCAAACCCACCTGCCAGGGACCGCTTCATTCACTGATAAAGGTTTATCAGAGACCTGGTTGCTCTGTGGCCCCTTGGTCTGGCTGGACAAGGAGGAGGAGGAGGACACCTTGGTAGGGAAAGGGAAGAGCTGCTCTGATAGTAAAATCCGACAGCCCCGGTGGGATTTCCCCAAGAACTGTTCTAGCTTGCTCATTCCCACTGCAATACACAAAATGCAGAACAAATGTCTGTAAGTGCTCCAGCACTTATAGAAAATGGAGCCGTTACCAGCAGTAATGCGGAAGGTCTCATCTTGTCAAGCATTTGAGTGACAACTCTTTTCCTTCACACAGTGCAGACTAGCTGAGCCTCAGCGTGGGAGACTTCTGTTCTCCAGCTGGGAAAAGTTGGAAAAAGAAATATCGTGTCGGTGGCGTGCTGCCGCAGAGGAGCACACAGGCTTGCGGGAGCTCCTCTCGCTTGCCACCGAGGACCTGGGAGATGCGCAGCTGGGGGATTGGGAAGGGTGCTGATGTACAAGGGTGGAGGAGATTCAGAGGGTCTCACTACCCAATTGTTAGGTTGCAGTAGTGCTTTATGTCTGCAGTGAGTAAAATGTTTGTTTTTCTTACATTTCCTATGTCTAGATAAGAGTTTCCTTGGCTGCGGTTACCTGGCCATGTTGGGCACTCAGCAAGCTGAACTTTGAAAGTGGCTGCTACAGACGTGAAAGATGTTTCCTCTCAGTAACAGATAATTTCTTAAAATAGTCCATGGAGGGGCTGTGCCCTGACATGTCCTATCACACTCCCCTAAGGCTTTCTGCCCACCAGCCTCCCCAATACTTGCTTCTCTTCTCTTGGACCATACATCGTTGGTTGCATTTACCTTTAAGAGGTTACAGTTTTCATGCTTTCTTGTAAACTCAGCATTTTAGACAAAAGATCTTCATAAAATACAAGCTATATTAAGCATACAGCCTCGAGCTCTGCTAAAATAGCAGTCCATATTCTTCTGAGTAGGGTCTGTGGATCCCTTCTGTCCTCTCAAGGTCTCATTCATCTCCCTTCAGGTCTTATACTGCCGTAACACAAGTAAGATTGAACTAGTCCAAGGGAACCTTTAGTTTTTCTTTCCTAGACAACATCATGTGCATTAAGAAAGATGTAAGGCAAGCTTTGCATCTATTAAAGGAGATAATGGCTTTCCCTTATACCTGCTTGGTCAGAAGTAAAGCATACAGAATTTCCCTGTCCTTGAGATCTGTTCCTATAAACCACCGCTCTATTACCTTTGTAAGAGTCTTACTTGCTTGCAGTTTATGTCATTATATTTCTTTCAAAACCTCAGATTTTGACATTTTGTTTGGAGGAGGAAAAAACAATCTAGCTCGTTGCCATGAAATTTCGTTTAGACTAAAATATGTGGTGTGACTCAGTCTGCTAAATGACCTTATGCACTGCTCATTGCAAACCAAAATTGCCAGGCAAGTAGAGTAATTAGTTGTGCAAAATGAAATAACTTTAAATCCTCGCATTGAGTAATGACCCAGAAAAATCACTTAAGCTATACAATAGAAAAGACTTGAAGCATCTGGCTTTATTTTTATTTTTGTAGCTCTGCCCCCTTTGATTAAGAAACAGGCTCTCCCCCTCATCCCTTTAGAAACCCTGGCTGTCGGTTGCTGCCCAGAACAAATGTTCACGGCTTAGTTGCTGCTACCCTAAGACATCGTAACTTCTCATAAAACGGCAGGGTAAGTCTAACAGCACCGGCACGGCAGTTGTTCTGCAAGGATCGTATATGTTTGATAAACCAGCAACTCATATCTGTTTAAAGAGCTGCTTCATATCATCTGCGATGAGCCCAAGTGATAAAAACCTTCACCCTGATCAGCAAACCCGGCTAGGCAGCAGGACCAGGGGAGGACCTGCACATGCTGCTGATGTACCGATGCCTTTGAATGCTGTGGCAAATTGCTTAGCTCTCCTTTGGCTCCACCTAAATACACTGTTTCCAACACGATTTTTTACAGCATTTATCAAAATTATCCAGAATAATAGGTGAACCGTCACAGCAGCCCTCCTACCGGCCCCAGCAAATACATCACCTCTACAGCAGGGCAGAGCTGAGCCAGAAAGCCCCTCAATAATCCAGGGACATGGGTGATGAAGCCTTCAGCCAGGCTTCCACATCCCGTTACTGAGCGCTCGGTGCCAGTGAATTTGGACCAGACCTTTAAAACATCAGGTATCAGCTACAGTGAAAAGTAAGATATGGCCCTCGTGGGAGTATCAGTGTGAATTAAGGTACGAAACTCTTGTATTTGTTTATGAGGTGGGTAGGGAATTGTCAGATAAAGTTATATGAGACCTGCCAAGGAGATCAGATCTATCCTCCGCAACCTGACAGCATATAAGGGGTCTCATAGCCATTGTGTTCCAAAGTCTGATCCTCACTGGCTGTAAAAACCAATCTTTCACCAAAGGGAGGAGATGAAGTGTTTTTAATAAGAAAATGAGCCGTTTGCAATGCGCTTTTAATTGGATCAATTTTTCCTTTATTACACAATCTTTAAAAACCAAACACATACGTATAACCACACAAGCTCTTTCTCCAGGTAGAGAGCAGAAGCCAAACTATTTCATCACAATCCTTAATTACTCCATTTCATCTCGTTTGGCAGATGATCACAACACTGTGTGGGGGCACCACGGCAAGAAATACAGCTCTGCAAAATCATCTCGCAGTCACTGTAAAGTTTTGTCAGGGGACATGCGTACCCTGGGCGCGGGACAGCAGGTTTTCTCTTTCCCTTTTTTGCCTGAAACCCAAGACTAGAAGAAGAGCTGCAGGCGACACACACCCCCAGGCGCCGATCGCAGTGTCCTGGCCCACCAGTGCATCGCAGGGCACTGTTATTTTTCTTGAATCTCTGAGTGAGAAACAGATGACAGACGCTTTGTTTGAACTGTGTAACCAGGAACAGGCTGGGGTAACCAACTGCTCAGTTTACTGGACCAGCTTTTACATCCCTTCAAGCACTCCAGGAAATGTTATTGCTAGTAGTGTGATGTTTATTGCAAAAAAAATAAATCCATTGGAACAGAAAATGACAGAGGTACATATTATCATAGATAATATTGCTTCAATTATTCAGGTCCACAGTAGCTTCCTGCTTGGAGCAGTTCTTAGAAACAGGAAAAATGTTTAAAAGAGATCAGTAGGAGAGGAACTGCCATTACCATAATACTGGAAAAAATGCCTTGAGTTACAATGTAATTAACTGCAGAAGGGCCCAGTAATAGTCATCATCTCCCAAAAACATACATGCAAGATGAGATTGGCTCCCCAAATTGCTGTTACATACTTTAGGCGACTACCCCCTCCCACGCCCAAAAGAGAAGCAGAGAACATAAATAATTACGTGCAGGCTGGTAGTCTTGGCAAACACACAGAGCAGCTCAGGAGGGAAAGGGGGTTCAGTCCCCTTGGGCTCCCTCAGCACCATCTACCATGCTAGTGTCGTTAGTTCCCGCTGCCTTCTCCGCAAGCTTTTTTCCAGCAAATTATAGCAAAAGAAATAGGAAGTTGCCCTGATGGAGGGGCACCTCCATCACACAGCTGGGTGTTTGTTGTGCTGGCCCTCTTCAGTGCTTTGGATGAGCAGAATAGGGAGAGAAAAAAAACCCAAAATCCCACCAAAATCTGCTCCCAGCGCTTCTTCTGCAAACCCTGTAACTGCCAAACAACTGGCTGGAGCAGCAGCAGCTCTGAAGCCTATTTTACTCCGCTGTTTCGCGAGGGGAAAGTATATGGGAACTGAAAAAAACCCATCACCTGTTGCATACGTGTTGTAGCACAAGTAGCAAACAATTTGCTGTAGCACGGCAGCCACCATAAAATCAGCTTTTATATTGTCTGTCGTGCCCCCAAATTTGCAACTACGTTGTTGATAGCAACAAATAAATGCACTGCAGTATAACTATTATCTGTGGCAGATTAACATGCTACCACTGTGCCCTATTTAAATGCATCTTTCCTTCAATAAAATATTCTAGGCAAGCAGCACCACACTGAGGTACACATTTATCAGCCAGGAGAGTAGCACTGTGGGGGCCTTGGTTCACACAGCTGCAGTTTTGTGCTTCATTTGGCCCAAAGCCGTGATGAACATGAACTCTGGTGCCTGCTGGTGCCGTAAAAAAAAATCTGAGGAATGTGGTGTTTTGCTGTGCAAGGGAAAAAAGACAATGCACAAATGGATGTGGTTCCAAGTATTAAAAAATAAAAGCAAAACAGTCCCCCCCCATCCCCATCTCAGCAGTGAGTAGCTTGCACATAAAAAGTGCAGATGAGTGGAAACCTATTGCTAAATGCAATGGTCTGGAATGCAGAATAGTGAAGTGCAGGTGAACATACAATATGTTGCATTTAATCTCATTTACTACAATCTCCCAGTCTTACTCCCCCAGCCTTTCCCCCCTCCCCATGAAGCTTTAGATACCAGATATACCTTCCAAAGACAGTTTCCAGGATGCATTTAATAATAAAACAACAGTAAATATCAACCATAGGTTTCCCCTCTTTTTTTTTTTTCCTCCAGCCCCCTCCCTTTTTACCCCCTTCTACCTAGCAGAACTCTTAGTAGTAATAAAAGCCCTGCTGCCATCAGAGGGCAGTTTTCCGGCTCAGCTCGGTCTCCCATGATTGCACAGTACTCACTTCACATTGAACAGACACGGTTCACAAATGGCACGACAGGGGCGATCTCCTGAATACCAGAAAAACGAAGAAAACCCTCCCTCTTCAGTTTGAAAGTAAGGTTCCATCTCCACGCAGTTTAAGAGGGCTATTTCATTTTATGCAGTGCTGCAATCAGAAACTGCTTTCTCCAGTAGTTGCCCAGACAACTGCTACCCAGTTCCTTGTGAGTACCACAGTGAGAAGAGGATTGCCTCTCTAGTCCTCTAAGGGAAGGTGATTTAGAGCAGTCAGTCAGTGTTTATGGCACAAAGAAAGATACAATGGTTGAAGCTGGAAATGTAGGAGATGTGGCGAAAGGAGGTGAAAAGGTTTATGGAGTGACCAGTCATTTATCAAGGAACCAATACTCCAGAAGGATGGATCCTTTCCCTCACACTTGTTCTTTTTTTTATTGTATGGATTTTATATAAAGAAGAAGAAAAAGCAGACCACCACCATGTAAGCTATTTTGTTTCTAAACACAAAACATGACGGCCTTCTGTGCCAAACCCCCTTCAGTTATGGCACAATCTCCCTGAACGCTTCACAGCGGTTCCCATCAGACTGCAATGAGGCTGGACGGATCTCTGCTGCCAAAAGGGGCTTTACCTAGAGATGTGCCTTTAAGGGGTGGAGTATCTTCTCAGATGGTAACTGTAGATCTTAATGCAGTGATCCCAACAGTCCAGCACCAGCAGCTGCCCTTTGGGAGTAATGGCGATACCGACAGGACAGGTGAGTCCTTCCCGGATTAAGATATTATAGCCACCTCCTTTAGGAAAATGCAGGATTTCTTTACGGCTGCTGTCAGCAACAATGAGGTCTCCCCTGGCATCGACACACATCCCAGCAATGCACCTGAAATCCTCATTCTCGGAGAAGAAGTGGCTAATCTGGCGTCCCAGCTGCCCATCTGGGCCAACGGAGCCAATTGAAAAGCCGCCTTCTAAATGGTGTTCGTACTGCCGGTTTTCCAGGTTAAGCCCCAGCCCTTGAGTAAAGTATATGGTCCCTTCAGCATCGCAGGTGACGAACTTTGGGCGCACTGCGCTACATAAGCAACTGTACTTCACTACCCCCACGCCACGGTCCACTGTGAAACACCAGAGTTTCCCTCCTTCCACGTCAGTCACTACAAACTGCCCAGAAGGCAGGGCAGCGATGCCCCAGGGTTTGCTTAGCTGGCTCCGGTGACACGCCACGCAATGGCCATCCATGGTGTAGACCTTGACAGAGTTATCGTAGCTGTCAGTCACACCTATCAGGCCATGGCAGTTCATGGTGACAGAAAGGGGAGTCAAATTGGGCAAGTCTGCTCCAAGGAAACTCAATACAAAACTATCAATTCCGCTGGGGCTCCGGCGAATCTCCTTCAGAAAGCCCTTGCGGGTAAAAACCTGGATTCGGAAATTGCCTCGGTCTGCCACAAGCACCTCACCTTGCAGGGTGACATGTAGGCTGACAGGGAGATTAAACATCCCTGGCAGGCTGCCCTTGGAGCCCATCTTCTTGATGAAGTGACACTGCTGGATGCTCGTGGCTGCTTCAGGCATCCTTGGCTTGGCTGGTGAGGAATTCGGTGTGCAGCTGGCCTCTTCTTGCACCAAGTCGGGCTCCCTAAATGATGCTGATGAGGATGCTGCAGATTCCATGAGCGATTCCTCCATGTTAACGGTCCGGGGTTTCTTCACCACTTGCCCAATCTGCAGTGGTCCCACATGGCTCACCTTAAGGAGTTCAACCTCTTGAAGAGTCAGCTCCCTTGGGAGACTGTTTGTCAGTTCTGGTTCTTCCTCGTCTGCTGCCTCTTCCAAGAGAGCTATATCTCCCAGCTTTATTTTGGCAAGGAAATAGTCACAGCGAGACATTATCTGCACTTCCGCTAAGTTCAGCAGATAAGCTTGCTCCTCCATTACCTGATTATTTACCTTCTCCACTTCAGACAAAGAGGTGGTGAAAAACTTGCGTGACCTGGCCAGTTCTTCCTGGATCTTGCGCTCTTCTTTGCTGTAATCCTGCAGAACTGCTTTGTATCTAGATTGCAGGTCTCTAGAAACACCCTCCAGAGATGCTTTTCTTTTCTGCAGATCACCCATAAGCTCCCGAAGTCTGGCAAGCCTCGTCCCAAATTCTCTCCTACGCTCTTCAGCAGCCTCTTTGATAGCAATGACTCTATGTCCTTGGGGCATGTGTGATGTCTCCTTGCATGGCTCACATAAAACCAAGCTACAGCTCTTGCAAAAGTGTCTTGGCAACCTTCTCCCACAGACCTTGCACATGAGAAGACCCACCACTTCCCCCAGTCCAGCGGTGTCTATGATCTTCAGCACAGTAAGATTGTCAGTCAGCTGAGCTAAGCTTGTGATCCGCGTGATTTTGCTGCAAAAGGGGCACCGTATCCCGTTAATGCTGTTTGCTAGGAGTTTCTCTAAGCATTGTTTGCAGATGGTGTGCCCGCAGTGTAAGAGCTTGGGTCTCAGGTGCTCCTCAGTGAAGGACTCCATGCAAATGGGGCACTCCAGGACCTCTCGGAGTGCATCCGAGTTGAGATGAGGGGCAGCAGCCATGGTTTTCCAAGGCAGTTTTAGGCAGTGCAAAGTCTTGTACTCGCATCTATTCCAAGGTGCTCTGATTCTGTCCAGAAAGAAAAAAGGAAACGTGATTTATGTCGTCACCAGCAGTTACATATACATGCAATTTATTTCTGATTTATCACCCAACCCTGGAAAAAAGAAGCCCCGTTAGCTTTTTCACATTTGGAAAGGATGGATTAGTCATAGCTAATCTCAGAGTGGGCAAATTCCAAAACTAACTTGCAGCTCCTAGTGCGATGAATTACTCACTTGCAAAATTTATAAGTAGAACTGAAAGAAGTGTAATGGCAGCAATAAGGAAGCCCAATAGATATTGATGACTGAATCATCTCCTCGTGGTGCCCATCTCCCGCTGCCAAGCCTCCAAGTTTACATAATTTACTGAAATCCAGGGAGATTAAACCAAGCATTCAAAATGTTGCGCATCAAAAGAGGAACCAGATGGTGCAATGCTTTAGGACATTAATATATCACCTCTGGAGACCTGCATTCAGATGTGACATCAGATACGAACAAAATAAATGTGGTTGGTTTACTCTGCTTTTCTAGATAGCCAAAATAAATTTTCGAGGTTTCATACGTTTGCCAGAAAGTGAAACTAGAAGGAATGATTTGTCAGCTTCCACTCCTTCTGAGAATGACTGCACACAGTGAAAACACACAGTGAAGATTTTATGCCAGTGTATTTCATTAACCTCTACCATGCTGCATCATGCTTCAGCATGCAAATTAAACACAGCTCGACACAGCAGTGTTCTAGCAGGTATTAGCAATAAAGGAGTTAACAGACAACTCCAAACATTCATTAATATATACTACAAGTGTTCACTATTAGTTCTTGAATTTAGCTTAATTGCATATAATTTCTCCTTATTTTACAATCTCGCAGCGTTGACCTCATTCTTGTATTCTGGTTCAGTTTTATACCACTCTGGTTGCCGTTCAGCTTCAATCCAGGTTTCTCCATCCTCACATCCCTCACAGCAGGGAGCAGATCCCAGCAGCTCTCTTGCTAAAGCAGCCATCCATTCAAAAGGAACAGAACAGGGTTCACATCATTAAGTTATTATTCAGTAGACTGGGTTTCAATACCTTTGCTATTGCATTGCTTAGCCATTAAAAGAAATGGGGAAGAAAACATTTCTTCTAGGGGGAGAGGAGGAGAAGGAAGTAGTTAGTCTTTAAAATGAAGAGACAGTCACAGAGGGATGGGAACAGACAGCTTTTTCTGAATAATGGCTGCAGGCATGCAGCACTTTTGCTTCCCCGCTGGGTTTGCCTGCTTCATCCTTGGGAGCATTTCAGACAGAAAGGTTCAGTGTATTTCAGTTTACCATTTGCTCAAGCGGAAGGAGACAACTGCCATGAAGAAAAGTTCTTTATGTTCATCCAGAGAAGGAAAAAAAAAAATAATTTTAATTCATCAGCTGTAGTTCACAGTCCTTTAAAGCCCACATTTCAGGAAGGGATTCAGTGGCGTAGCAGAATCTCCCAAGTGCCAAGCTGGGATCTGATCCTTGGCTCGACGGTGGCATGATGAGCATCACACCCCCAGCACCCGGGGAGCAGGAGCACTCCAGGCGCTCGCTGCCGCTAGCACCGAATATACTTCCCTTTCATTCTTAGTGTGTATCTCAGCCAGGGAAGCAGAAGCCTGGGCACTGGCATGTAGATCAGGATCTTCCTCTGAGGGATGAAAAATCTGTATTTTAAAACAATTTTTAAAAATGAAACACAGGATACCAGATGCATTATTCTTATTTTCCTTGGAAATACGTCAGAAGGTTTGGTTAGGGAAGGCTGGGGGAGCAGCACAGACACCAGATACACCCGAAAGTTACATAAAAAGCCACTTTTAAAACAAGTATTTTCATTAGAGAACAATGACGGTGAGAGTTTTGTTTAGTCTGAAGTTAGGTTTGGTTTTTAGAAAGATGATTTGTATGACATTCTTTTCATCTATGATCCCCTTTTATCAGAGTACCAGCATGCGCCTTAGTAACGTGAAATTATTTTTACCGCTGCACTTTTATCTTTATCTTGCACTGGGCCGTGCCTTCGTGGAATTTTCCTTAACAGTGAGTTGTTCTTGCGTATCAGTCCCTCCCAAGCCAGTTGCCCTGACGCGGAGCAGCGTATTAGAGAAGGCCTCAGCTGAGGATCAAGCTATAAAACTCTGTAAATGATGTGAGTTTGGTTTCCTTATAATCAAAACATTTTCCTGCCATAGTTTCTCTTGCCACTCTGTTGTTTTTAGTTAGGATGTGCGGCGAGACAACTAGTTTTACTTGTAATTCATAGCATGGCTCATTAGCGAGTAAAATAATAGGGTAAGGCTACCAAAATTTGCCCCTTCCTCCAGCGTTCAAGACGGTGTTTCAGCGCAGGCTGCGAAGCCGCCACCACCACCACGCGCGGGTTTTGGGTTTTTTTGCCGAAAGCCGATGCCTGCAGCGTCTCTCGCTCGCAGCAGCGTCCACGCACCGCAGCGGTTCGGTGTCGTCCGCGGAACCGGGGGCGGGAGGCAGCCCGCGGGCTCTCGGCGGGGAGACAGGCGGCTTTAAGGGCCGCGCCGACGGGCACGACGCTCGGTTCCGTCCAAAACGCCGCTCGAATCGCAGGACGAGCCCCCCC